TTAATGAGTACACTTAGTCTAAATATATTATAATTATTAATTATTGCACACCATACAGGACTGTTCTGTAAATACATTTTATTACTGAAATCACTAATGCCTCGCTATATTCGGCTCATTTCAAGGTATAACGATGCAAATAGATAAGACAAAGGTCATGCCGCTAGGGTCAAATTGAGGACAATGTGGGGTCGAGTATGGACTAACGATGGCAAAGGTTTAGTTTTATTGGTAGCTGATGTTCAGATATTGCTTAGGTCAGCGTCATTGTCCCTGATCAAACGTCTGTTCTCTTTGATAAGCAGGACTTTGTTTATCTTTCTAAATCTAAAGTACGTTTTGGCACAGATTTCTCTGATATGTTGCATATCTGTTTCATGATGTTGATGACAGTGTGATGAACAACAGCACAGTCATTTTAGCATTCTGTTTTGAATATTACAGGATGTTTCGTCTGCTTCCTACCTCTTCATTATTGCGCACTGCTCTTTTCTCTCAATCTGCGTTGTTTACATGTCGTAATATTTGGCATACTATCCTCTCTTATTCCTCTCTATGGAATTTCCCGTTTCTCTGATATATGTATTGTCAAATTTACAAGCAGTCTACTAGATCCATCCACGTTGTTCGCCCTGAAACACCTTGGTTTTTACCTGAGTTAGTTGACTTTGAAGGACGAGTTCAGACTTCAGTACAACTTTCAAGCCTAGAGGTAAATGAGACATACTACCTTACCGGTAAATTCACCGCGTTCAGTTTTCTTCTGCGTGCCAGGCCGGTTCATTTGTTCATAAACGGATTATTCTACGAGGCGCTTGGGATAGCTAACTGTTTTTTGATGGTTTTTTGATATTATTCAGTTCCTTCCGATTGACATGTTCATAACAACCCAATCTTTGATATCTGGTAATAAGAGTTTTTCCGATGCCTTTCATTATCCTATATAATTGATTTTAAGTAGATTGTAGGAAGCTGTCGGCAGAACACCCAGCGGGTGGCCAAGATTAATCCGGGGCAAGTGCATTGAGCGACTCTACTCTAGAAGACTGCGCTGATCTTTTGCCGAAATTCAAGCGCTGGCACAATATCGAGAACATTAGAAGCACTGTCTGACTTATTTGTTTCCAAGACCCAAAAAAGAGAAGCGGTCAGGGAAAGTGAAGCGAAGTCAAGTAGAATGCTTGTTGGTTAGCATCAGTGTGTGATGATAGACTTCTGATTTATGCCAGGTCTCTTTCCGCGTAACTGAGATATCCAAAAAGGGTCAAATGCCATTTTGTTTCATTTCAGTAGTGAATCTGGTGTCTTATCGGAAAACGTTGTTCTGATGGCCTAAAAGCAAGATTCTGTGTTTAACGAAACTTTTACAAATGACAAACACATCATCCACATATCGTTTATAGAAATCACTGAATGTTGATAGCTAATGTTTGCAGAGCAACTGTTTCCACCTGTTGCTGATAAAAATTTGTGCATCGGTTGGCGATAAAGGGCTACCTATTAAAGATTTTTTGTGTTCTGGATTGAATTTGTTGAAGGTGTAGTTTTCTGTTTGACCTGGTCGCTTTCTATCATTTCCCTTAGCGCATCAACGACTGCTTTAGCAGGAATGCTCGAAAACAGTTTTTGTGACGTCATTAATTGTTAAGATGGCGTTTCTTTGATGGCGAAGAGCATGCGTGTATTTACCGAAATCCCAAAAGTTATGTAGATGCAAGTTTCCAGCGAAGGAAGAAGTAAGGAACATATGCGTAATTTTTCGAGATGGAGCAACGCTGGACAAAAGCGATTCGCAACAAGGATGACGTAGGAGGAAAACGAAGGATTCCGTAGTTACCCAAATGGAATTCAAAAATACCTCTGCTGTTGTTTAATACTGTTTCTTTGAAAATCATGAAATAAATTGGCAACACAAAAGCGCACTTGTGCCAAAAATTAAACTTTATATTTAGAAACAAAACAAGCTCTGTTCATTCAGGCAAACCGTTGTTTGAACAGGGACAACAACATGGACCTGAGCAATATTTTAACGTCAGTCACCAAGAAAGCGCTGTCATTATTAATCATTGCTCAGCTCATTATAGACCCAGATGGGACAGTGGCAGTGGGAGACCTGATCAACAAAGCTGATGAATCTGAACAATGGGAGAGTGGCATAGACCTGAGCAATATTTAGGCGTCACCAAGAAAACGCTTCATTTTCTTCATTGCCATCTTCCGTAATCGCTTCTCCTTTCGAGTCGCGGTGGTAGACGCCCAGACAGTGCTTCCGTCGTTCCCGTTCCTTTACTAGAGTCTGAGTCGTCGTCATTTCGTCCATCGGCAGCCGTTATTGTGCTGCTACGTCCCAGGCTGCCAAAAGGCTATGAGCAAGATCGACTGATCGCCGACTTTTCACGGCCTGCCTCATTCCCCCAACGACCTGTTAGTCCTTTGGTATTCAGTGCGACGACCGAACCGGGATGATGTTCGAGGACGGCAGCACTTTCAGGTGTATGTAGCTAAGTTTTACTGAGACCTCGCCACGGTCTCCCTCTTTCCTCCTTTTTCCTCGGGAGTGGATAAAAAAATTGCTGTCATCATTAATCCTTGCTCAGGCTATTGTAGACCGAAATTGACGATTATTAGATCTGTTTTTATCTGGACAGCGAGTGGAGTGTGGCTGAAAAGTTTGTATTTTTTGTAATGAAATGCGTATGTAGCGCAATCCCGTAAGGCCTGGGAGTTAGTCTCTGACATAAAATGAGAGTGTGCAGTTTTAAGTTAAGTAGTAGACTTAATTTATTATTGTTTATAGTATATAAATGTAGTAAATGTCTCTGCAAAAATTTGTAATTTTCTAAGTTTGTAATACTAATGGCGATTTTTGATGCTATGTTTTAGTATGCTATTTCACTCCATGGAACAACAACATTCGTGAAGCATTGACTGCAGCTCATTGTGATTAATTTTGCTATGCATATTAATTATGCCAGTAATTAACCATGCTGTTTAACGTTTAGCGTTACCTCAATTTAACGTTTGGCATTAGATTTTTTCTCGTAACGCCTGTGTTAAAGATTTAGTCTTACGCTTTAAAATTTTCAGTCGTTTTGGTGTCCTGTAACTGTCGAATCATGACGACTGGTCGTAAAGAACAGGATATGACATTAATGAGTTTTTTGATAGAATTAATATATTCCCGATGTCAAACAGCTGCAGGTAATATCCTAATTTTGATGTGCTACCTGTCCTTTATTTTCTTCTTTTGCAGAAATTGGGATTCGTTGAAGACTGCATGGCAACAAAGCTGAACCTTCGACTAAATGTAAAGTAACATTACTCCCGAAAGAGATGCATACTGAGGTTTAACTTATGTTTAGCCTGTTTACCTGACGATCACCAATGAAAGCGACAAGCATCGTGGTGCTAAGGGTGGGTCTTGCTGTCAGATCAAAAGTTTGCTGTTTATCTTCATTCACGTTTCTTGCTTCAGGTGGAGAGTCTCATTTCTCGTTATTAATTGTTTCAGAGAGGTTTGAAGGTTTAAACCTTATTGAGGTAAACTTTAGATAGAAATGGACTGCATACATTGTGGCTACTTATGCTTTTCAGAGACACCGCCTGGTGAACAAAATTTTAAAGACTGAGCTGAACGGAGGATTACATGCTCTGTGTTTGCTGACATTGTCTCCTTCTGAATGGAAATCTGATGAATTGAAAAATCCATTTGCTCCTAGCTGTCAGCAGAAATGGCCCTGAAAGATGTGACGAAGACGTTCGCGATTCGTACTACCTCCTGTTGTCTTCGCGGGAGGAAGAAGTTAATGCTCAGAATGTCTTTAAGGAGTACTGAAACTGATGAAAGTATCTTCACAGCTATTTCCAGTTCTTAAATAACTACTTTTCTTTGTGTTTTTGCTGTTGTTTCACCAATCATGCTTTAGGCATTGTCAGAAATCATGGCGCTTCTAAACTGTTTGCAGACACTTGTTCAATTCTCGTAAAATAACTGTTCGAAACTTGATATGGCATTTAAGGTCCAGAGAGTCCAAAATGATGTTCTCGCTTCACTTATGCCATGATTTTCACATCAGGGTGGAGAATTTTTGTTGTTATATTCACCACCATCTGGGATATCAGGGTCAAGGATCGAGTATCCAGATTAGTGATGCGACTAATAGCATGTGACTATCTTTAATGAAAAATTTTTTTTAATATTTCAACTTTTAATGATTTTTTTGCTTGCACCTCTGAATGAATTGCAGGAATTAATGCAGTCCAGACTTCGTGGTTATGACTAAAAAGTCTCAGTATATAATGCGAGGAAGCATACATTGAAACATGCTGCCCTTGTTAGTTGTACATGTTTTTGCTAAGCATTAGCTATAGATCGATGACTGCTGTGCGTAGGCTGTATCGATCGTAGATGTATATTTAGATCTGTCGCAAGATGTGATTGGTGTCTCAAGTTCAAGTCAATTTCATCCGTTTATTAGCTGAATTGTTCACGTTGCGGCACACAGGAAGTAATGAGTAGGCAGGAAGAAGCGGGAACATTCCATATCAGTTTTTTATTTATTGATTTATAGGACCTCTGAAGAAAAAGCTCATTTAAAGAAATTTTCGTGCTGTCAAAAGTCCAAAAAATGGCATCAACACGTCATTATGGAAATAATTTTCTGTCTGATTTGCAGAGAACTGCGTAGCTTCGTTTGCTTCGCGTAAACGCGAAATGTAAAAGTAGAAAGTCTGGTTGTAAATTACTCTACCACGTCCGATTTTTTATGGTGCAATAAATGATGCCCACTGAGCTTTTGGTTCAGTGCCATCGAGAGCAGAGGAAAAAAGGGAAGATCAGGTAAATTTCTATGTGTGTCAAGGCAATTTAAATTTCGCCCTTCCTTCCAGGACAGTTAGCGTTGAATTTTCCTGCAGATAAAGGTGTACAATCGCAGTTTAATGTTACTCTACATTGTTTCGTTTGTTTGTGCTGCTATATAGGGGTAAAATTGGTTGGTTTTGGGTTTACTCTAGTCTTTTCTTATCCCTTTCTCTTCATTTGTGTTTTTCTCTTATTCTTATTTCCTCTTTTGCCGGTTTTCTTCCTTATTTTCACCTTCCTAAATCATTTATTTGTTGTTTGTTTTCGTTTATTTATTTTACATTTATTTTCAAATCTTTTCTCTATCATTATAGTCGTTGGCCTCTTGCATTTATTACCCGAGGTTTAAAGTGAAACGTATATAAGTTGACAAACGACCGTGTGTTTAGTCTTGCGACTAGTTCGTAATGTTTTGCCAAGCTTCAAGAGACGTGATCGTAAATTGTGTTTTCATTTCTTTCTCCTATATTTTACTGCGTTCTTAGTGAATTATGTCCAATACCCAACGAAGTTGGTTGGTAAGGATTAAGGTAATTAATTAGATATTATGAGCAGTTCTAAGTCTTTCAAGTGCAGCTCTTCTGTGTGTTTAACAATTTACGTGACCATCTCATTTTAGAGTGATCTCATCGATAGATTCTCAGGTTGGTTAGATGCAGAACGCTAGTAGTATCGAAAGGGAGTTCGCTGCCTCGCCGTACACTTCATGAAAGACAAGTGCCACCATTACGGTTCCTCGTTGAACCAGTTTGGTCCTTCCTTGAAGGCGATCGAAATTTTCTCTTTTCCTTTGTTTGAGGTCATCAACAAAACCATTTGTATTAGCTGAACGTCACTGGTTTGTGATGCCCGCTCTTTCCGTAGCTTTTCTTCACTGATACGGCTAAAAGGCACCAGTTGCTGTATAGTAGAACAAGATATCTCTGAAAGCAGATCTGATTCTACCATATTTCTCCACGTTGCATGTTGGACCCCTTCTCGACTTCTGCCATGTTTCGGCTCTTGCGAGAAGCTCGCGGCCTGGGAGTAAACAGCGTATGCTCAGTCTGTTGGTCTAACAGGGCAACCTCCTTTTTTTGATCTTCACATCTGCCGAGGTCACCTGTGCCAGGAAGCTAATAGTTATTCCTTACTTGATCCTACCAGTTAGTCTTCATCATGCGTCGAAGCTAAACTAGTGTATGCAGTTCAACTCTCGCCTTTGGTCCTTCTTTCGCACAACTGTTTCGGTTCTGTGCAACAGCACCGATCTGACGGAAGCAAGGTACATGCAAGTTTTTTGTGAACAGAGATGCTCCTTTCTCAGCATAAATATTTGCCACGTTTCCAAAATTACGGTTCTTCTATCTAACTGACTGAATATTGCCCTCGCTGGAGAATGTAAAACAGACATTTAAATTGGTCATCCTCTTGAAAAGGTTCACCATCTGTTCCACTTGTCGATGAGTTGTACCCATGCGTTACTCATAAATTTTAACTTCTGTGCGTTAGGAGTTCGCAATTGTGTTGCATAAGAATGCCGCCGGGTGACAGAGCTCGCATTCCGTAATACTCACCAGTACAGTATCATCTTCGTACTCCAGGACGGTGAATTACTTTCCGTTTCCATTCTCACTTTCAGACTGAGTTGATGAACAAGGTCTCATTTTATCTTACATTTTTAATAAGCGCTCATAGCACTCATTGAGAAGCCACTAAAGAACGTAGTGACAACGCGTAATGAACTGCGCAGACATCTCTGGCCATCAGTCACGTGCATTCATCCCAAGACGCTGATCTTTGTAAGACGCTGATCCCAAGACGCTGATCCCAAGACGCTGATTCATCCCAAGACGCTGATCTTTGAAACACTAACGACATTGGATAAGCCATAACTTGAATGCGTTCTGAGTTATTGCGCATTCTGTAATATGCTTTCGCTCATCGAGCTTTTTAAGTTTAATTTAAGCGGCCATTCGTGCGTTGTTCAAGTGGCTGTGATGAGGACAGAGTGAGGCACTGGATCTGATATTGAATCATGGAAGGTGTCTGGTTGAATACCTACCAGCTGTGCTCTTTAGAGCGACTTAGTCGTTCACTGTTTCATAGATCTTTTGTGTTCTGCAGGAAAAATGAATCTGACTCATCTGAAGTTTGCAAAATTCGAATTTGAGGTTTGTGACATATTTTGGTATCGATTGTTTAGGCCGACCGAAGAGTGAAATCTATGCTATGCAGAAGATGGTGGTGAAATGAACGATGTATAAACTAGAAAGGAAAAAAGTAGCAATTTAATATATGTTATTTCCTATTAAATTTAAACAGTGGAAATGTAAATCATTTGTCTCTTCGAATGGTAACGTTGAAAAGTATGTAAAGAAAAAGCAAACATGTAGTCAAAGTACTGATGAAAAAACCTCTTTTTCTGACAGATGTATATTGGTTGAATTCAGGTTCTAATGTACGGATGTTCTTTGAAGACTTATCTGCCAATTCTTCTCCAGAATAGAGGACACTTTCCAGTGAACTCGCAAATTTTGTTCTCTTTTGTACAATATATTTTTGAAAGTACTTCGATCTGACTGCTGATCTATCTAAATCCATCAAATGATCATATTGCTTGTTTTGATCGACATCACGTTGCCATAGTTGCGACTAATGCTGCATATTATGATTTGACCGGTACGATATATTTCAGACGGTGACACTCTCAGTATGATACAGCAGTGAAAGGTTGAGAGATTTCATACGACCGAAGTTATGAGTTATACTGACGCTGGGAAGATTTCATATGTGCAACTATCCTCTGACTCTCGGATGTGACAAGTTCACTTTCTGAATTGAATAAACAGCTTTAAGATGGATCAAGGTGATCTGCAGCCATGTGAGGTGCTCTCAATAAGCAGCATTCTCGTATCTCTCCCATTCTCGTAAGATCACACCAGAACGCTATTTTTTTCTGTTATTTCTGTTCACAGGTCAGCGATCCTTGCTGCACTTTTCTGGGCTGGTTTCACCGACGCAATTAATTATGAATTAATTCTTTGCTTAACGGAAACAATTCATTGTTAGGATAAAGACTGTCCCTTTTCTGGATTTAAACCCACTACCTCCAGACTTTGAAGCCAATTTTTTGCAGATGTGCCACCATATCCCATTCTGCCACTTGCATCTGACTACCATTTCGCAAAAGTGAAACAAAGAATGACACGCACAGCTAGCTGCCTCGATGAAGATTCCTAATCATATGCAAGGCGATCGTCACTGATTGTATCGAAACGGAGATCAACGCCGCTCCACAATTTGTATAAAAGAGAATCTTAACGGTTGTAGAATTTCTTTTGTGTGAGAGAGAGAGAGTGTAATGAGGGCAATAAAATAAAGCAAACCTTCAGCGCGTTCGATATGCACTGTTTTATTGCAATAGTTTCTACGACGTTGCTCTGCTGCTTTTTAATCCAGATGACTTGTGGTTCTGTAGGCGTGGTCGGCGTTTGTACACTTATGTTGAATCCATATTTGATACGAAGTCGATCAATAATTCTGACTTTCTACAAAATACAGAAGCTTTAAAACGAGTTCTTCTCTCCATGACTCATGACTAAGACGAATCTATTTTCTCTAAATGCCACTAGCAACTTTTCGAGAGTCCTTTCAGTTGCGTAAGATTAGCTGCAAAGATGTAGGAGCTTATTATATGGTCTATGTCATGTCCATTGTCTATGTATGCATCACTTATCCATCACATCAGTCATCATCTGTGACTTCTCAGTCTGAAGTAGCAGTTGCTGTGCATCAGGGGTCTCGCGGATGTCTGTATTGCGGATCATGTCAAGACGCGTGAAGCCAGCGACTCGTCTAAGTAAGCCTATTTCAGCCGTTTGTACCAGGGATATGT